TGAGATGAAGCCCCACACGGGGCTCTGTGTAGGGCATGATGCCCGCTTAAGATTCTCTCTCCCTCTCTCTATGCCCCTCCTCTGCTCGCACTCCCTCCCCCTCAAAAAAAAAAATTACAACAACCAAGAGAGTGCTGAATCAAGAAAAAAGCAATTTCAAACTGGTAGGAAAGTCTTGTGGCATTTTTACTTGCCCTTGCCCCTCCCCTTCCCTGGCACACAACAGTCTTAGTACAGAAATGGTCTTAGCCTGTGTTGTCGGTGTGAGACCCTGGTCCAGGCACTCGGAAGAGGCAGGGTTGATCTTTTCTCAAATCGTTCTGTACGCCTGCTTTAGGCGGGCTGGGAGCTCCCTGAAGGGCAGACACAAGGACTGACCTCAGGCTGGAAAAATAGTAGGCACTGTTCAAAAACACGACAAAACAAACTAGCAGCCTGTATACACCTATGGCAAAAGATTAAAGTCAAAACATAAAATAGTCCAGCTAAGCCCGAGGGCAAAACAGGAGAAACTTTTCTTTCGGAAACTAGGATGTTTAAAAACAACTGAGTAGAGCTATCTGGGTGACTCAGTTGGGTAAGCATCCGACTCTTGATTACAGCTCAGGTCATGATCTCATGGTTCATGAGTTCAAGGCCTGTGTCAGGCTACATGCTGACAGGGCAAGACCTGCTTAGGATTCTCCCTCTCCCTCTGCCCCACCCCTGCTGACTCTCTCTCCCTCTCTCTCTCTCTCTCTCTCCTTTTTCTCTCTGTCTAAAAAATAATCAAACGAACCTTCTCTTTAAAAAAAAGCAACCAAGTATATGGAAAAATTTAGAAAACTACATGCACGCTATGGCAAGACATATACTCTGAAAGACCAGAAGATCCTAAACTTTCACATTGATCTCTGCACTCAGTGCAAACCTGCTTAAGTGTTAAAAGAGTACTGCAGCACAGATCCAATCTATACAGACTGAGAGAGCTGTGTTATTTCTTTGTTTGTTTGTATCATTCCTGGCATTTAAGGAAATCAGTCAAAGCACTGGCTGAATAAAATAAGGAATAGAGATTTCAATGACCACATACAATAAGAATTACAGTCTTTCCAGGCTGCCTGGGTGGCTCAGTCGATTAAGTGTCCAACTTTTTCTCAAATCACGATCTCCCGGTTCACCAGTTGAAGCCCGGCGCCAGACTCTGTGCTGACAGCTTTCTCTGCCTCTTCCAGGCTTGTGCTCACTCACTTGCTCTCTCTCCCAAAAATGAACATTAACTTTTTAAAAAACTTTTAATTAAAAAAAAATTAAAGTCTTTGCAAGTACATTCTGAGAAGGTCACTATAAAGACTCCTGTCACCTTCAACAACTTTTTCAAAAGCAATCTTATGGGGTTTTTTGTGCAATTGTGAATGGGATCGGTTTCTTGATTTCTCTTTGAGTTGGTTCATTATTGGTGTATAAAAATGCAACCGATTTATGTATATTGATTTTTTGTCCTGCAACATTGCTGAATTCTTGGATCAGTTCTAGTAGGCTTCTGGTGGAATCTGTCAGGTTTTCTATGTAGAGTATCATGTCATTTGTGAAAAGTGAAAGTTTGACTTCTTCTTTACCATTTCTGATGCCTTTTATCTCCTTTGTTGTCTGATTGCTGATGCTAGGATTTCCAGCACTATGTTAAACAACAGTGGTGAGAGTAGACATCGGGAGTTTCCTCAAAATTTTAATAGAACTCCCCTATGACCCAGCAATAGCACTGCTAGGAATTTACCCAAGGGATACAGCAGTGATGATGCACAGGGGCACATGTACCCCAATGTTCATAGCAGCACTCTCACTAATAGCCAAAACATTGAAAGAACCTAAGTGTCCATCAACTGATGAATGGATCAAGAAGATGTGGTAATATTTATACAATGGAATACTACATGGCAATAAGAAAGAATGACATCTGGCCATGTGTAGCAACATGGATGGAACTTGAGGGTGTTATGCTGAGCGAAATAAGTCAGGCAGAGAAGGACAAATATCATATGTTTACACATATAGGTGGATTAGGAGGAACTTAATGGAGGACAAAGTGGGAGAAGAAGGGGGAAAATAGTTGGGGAGTGGGAGGGAGGCAAACCACGAGAGACACTTAAATGCTGAGAACAAACTGAGGGCTGAGGGGGGTGAGGGAGAGGGGAAAGAGGGTGATGGACTTGGAGGAGGACACTTGTTTGCATGAGCACTGGGTGTTATATGGAAACCAACTTGACAATAAACTATTAAAAAAAGACAAAAAAAACCCCACAAAAATAAATAAAAAGCTGAACTCACACACACAAAAAAACAAATGGTACGATTCCCTCATTTTTATGGCTGAGTAATATTCCAGTGTGTGTGTATGTGTGTGTGTGTGTGTGTGTGTGTGTGTGTGTTGATGTATATATCTCATAACTTCCTTAATCCATTCATCCATCACTGGACACACATGGACAGACCTTGAAGGTATTAAGCTAAGTGAAATAAGTCAGATGGAGAAAGACAAATATTGTATGATCTCACTTCTATGTACAATCTAAGAAACTAAACAAAACACCAAACTCATAGAAAAAGAAATCATACTTGTGGTTGCCAGAGGTGAAGGTGGGATGGAGGAAAACTGGAGCAAGGTAGTCAAAAAGTACACACTTAGGGATGTATGATAAATAAGTGCTAAAGATGTAATGTACAACATGACGACTATAGCTACACTGCTGTATGATAGGTAGGAAAGTTAAGACAGTAGATCCTTAGAATTATCATCCCAAGGAGAAAATATCTTTCTTTTCTTTTTATTATGTCTATACAAGATGATGGATGTTAAATAAACCTATCATTTCACAATATACATAAAACACTCCATCATGCTGTATACCTTAAACTTATACAGTGATGTATGTCAATTATTTCTCAATAAAACTGTGACAAAGAGGAGATTCTGATACCCAGAGTTATTTTTATAATATTCAGTCTGAAAAGCAGAAAGAAAAAAGAATGAAGAGAAGTGAGCAGATCCTAAGGGACCTATGGGACATCATCAAGTGAAATTATGGGAGTCCGAGAAGGAGAAGAGAAAGTGAAAAGAGTATTTGAAGAGATAATGAACAAAAACTTCCCAAAATGATGAAATACATGAACCTACAAATCTAGGAAACTCAGTGAACTCTAAGGAGAATAACTCAAAGATACTAACACCAAGACTCATTATTGTCAAACTGACAAAGCCAAAGGGAAAGAGAGAATTCAGAAAGGAGCTCATCATGTACAAGAACTTAAGAGAAAATCAACTCTGCACATATCATAGAGTCTCAGTAAGATAAGAAGCCAATTTATCATCAGAACCATGGAGCCCAGAGGGAACGACGATGATATATTAAAGTTCTGGGAAAAAAACTGTCAGCCAACAACTGTATATCTGACAAAATTTTTCAACCAAAAATGAGGGAGAAATAAAACATTCTCACAAGAATGAAAGCAGAACGAGTTCATTACCACCAAGCCTGCTCTATGAGAATGTCTAACAGGTTCTTTCAGGTTAAAATGAGAAAACACTAAACAGTAATTAAATACCAAATGAAACAAGTAAAGATTCCTAATAAAGATAAATGCACAGACAAATTAAAAAAAAACAGTACTGTATGGTTGGTAATTCCACTTTTTATTTCCTACTGGTTGTAAAAACAAGTGTAAAAAATGTTAAATCTACACCATCGACAACAATGCATCAATATTTAATTTGTGACAGTAACAACACAAAGAAAGGACCAAGCAATATAAGAGCAGAGGTTTTGCATGCTATTGAAATAAAACTAGTATGAATTCAAACTAGATTATTATAAATTTAGCATGTAAAAGATAATGCTCATGATAACCATAAAGACAATTATCTGGATAGATTCCAAAAAGACAACGAGAATGAAATCCAAAATGTTCCTACAAAAATCAAAAAGGAAGAAAGAAGAGCAATAGGGTAAGAAATAAAGAACAAAATAAAAAGGTATTAGACATAAATAAAATAAAAATTTTAATGGAAGAATTAAGTATCTCCTTATCAGTAAGTATATCAAAGGTAAGTAGATTAAACTCTCCAGTGAAAAGGTAGAGATTGGAAGAAAGACAAAGGAAACACCATGTGAATGGGGTACCTGGGTAGCTCAGGTGGTTAAGCATCAGACTCTTGCGTTTATACTCAGGTCATGATCTTACAGTTGTGAGATCAAGCCCTTTGTTGGGCTCTGTGCTGACAATATGGAGTCTGCTTGGGATTCTCTCTCCTCTCTCTGGCCCTCCCCCACTTTCTCTTTCTCTCTCTCTCAAAATAAATAAATAAACTTAAAAATGTAAAAAAAAAAAAAAAAGAAACATGATGTGAATATAGGCTGTTTGTGAGAGATTCACTATGGATCCACAAACAGAAATTGGTTTTAAATGAAAAAGTAGAAAACATACTCCAGGCAATTAATTGCCAAAAAAGAACTAATATCAGGGAGGAAAAGTAGACTTTAAGTAAAAAATGTCAAAATAAACGAAGAAAATAAGATAGAAAATAAATAGATACACAGAAATGGGGACTAAAAGGCCAATATTCAAGAAGATATGACAATTTCGAGCATACATACACCTCACAACAGGGCCTCAAAATACATGAAGCAAAATGACAGGTGTGAGGTAAGAAATACACGTTTCCACAATAATACTTAGAGACTTCAATACATCACTTTCCACAAAGGTTAGTGCCTCTGCAGAGATCAACAAGAGATAGAAAAACAGTAAAAACAAACAAAACCTAACAGAGATATGTGAACACTCCATCCAACAACAGTATAAGACCCATTCGTCTCCAGGATAGATCATATGTTGGGACTCAAAGCAAGTTTCAATTAATTTAAACTATCAAAATCATACAAAGTGTCTTTTCTGACCACCACAGTGTGAAGCCAGAAATCAGTAACTGAAGGACAAACGGAAAATACCCCGGTATCTGGAAATTAAACAACACACTCCTGAAAAAGCAATGCTATCTTACCCACGAGTTTTCTCAAGGCTCCCTTCATGTCCCTGTTCCTCAGGCTGTAGATGAAAGGGTTCATCATTTGAGGGACAACAATGTACATCACTGAGACCACAGCGGTGTTTCTGGAAGAGTTAGTAAAAGCAGAACTAATGTACACCCCCAAACCTGTCCCATAAAACAAAGACACAACTGAGAGGTGAGACCCACACGTAGAAAAAGCTTTATACTTTCCGCCCACTGATGGCATCCGCAAAACAGAGGACACTATCTGAGTGTAAGAGAAAATGATTCCACATACAGGGATACCAGCAAATACGCTAGCTGCAAAATATATCAGGATGTTATTGATGAGGGTGTCAGAACATGCAAGCTTGATGACCTGAACCACTTCACAGAAGAAGAGAGGGATTTCTAGATCTGTGCAGAAGGTCAGGTGCAACACCATCAGACTGTGCATCAGGGCATCCACAGTGTTAATGCACGAGGAGACTAGAATCAGCAGGCCACAGAGGCGGCGGTTCATGATGACTGTGTACCTCAGGGGATGGCAAATGGCCACATAGCGATCATAGGCCATTGCTGCAAGCAGAAAACTTTCCAAGCCACCAAAAGCCAGGACAAAGTAGAGCTGGGTGAGGCAGCCTGCATAAGTGATGCTCTGATCCTGTGCCTGGATGTTCACCAGCATCTTTGGGATGGTGGTTGTGCTCAAACAGATGTCAGTAAAGGACAGGTTGGCGAGGAAGAAGTACATGGGGGTGTGGAGGTGGGAGTCCGAGCTGACGGCCAGGATGATGAGCAGGTTTCCCAGGACGGTGACCAGGTATATGAACAGAAACATAACAAAGAGAAAGGGCTTCAGCTCTGGATCCTCTGTCACTTCCATAAGAAGGAATTCTGAAATTGCTGTTTTGTTTCTGGGTCCCATGTGGTCCATGAATCTGATGGAGAAGCTGGAGTGACAACACAATCAAAAGTGGGTTTTCTAGACCACCAGGAGGAACGTCACCAGAGATAAACGCTGTCTTACGATGGGACAGAGACTAACAGGGAGAAATACGAAGGTGCCCTCTGTACGCATCTTATCTGTTCCTTTAACAAAAACCTGAAGCTGATGCAGCAGAGTGTCATCCATTGTTAATTCCCACAAGGGTCAAGAGGGAGCCATTTAAATACTGCACTCTCTATACCATTTTGATTATTTGAAACATTTCGCAATTTTATAAAGAGAAAAAGACTGGGGAGGCAGTTAAAGATTCTGTCTGGATCCCCAGAGACCTGAGAGGCAGGCAACCGAAATAACATATAATTTGTCAAGAAAGAGGAATAGGAAGATTAAGTAAATGTTTCCAAATGTCCTGATCTCTCATCGCCACAAAATTGTAAGTAAATGCCACAGACTTGTCTAACATTCATCCTATTTTTAAAAAATCAGATTTCTGCTCAGGAAGAAATGGTCCTGTCCATACTAGAGAGTGAATAACAACATTAGTAAATAGAGGTACTTGAGTATTGGTGCAAAGTACAAGGAAAAATATGAAGAAGATGACAGGCAGAAGGACCTTGGATGAGTTGGTTCTAATCATCTAATACACGTACTCTCTTCTCGGCTTCCTTTGGATGAACCTGTAGCAAAATGCCTTCCAAACATTGATGTAAGTTCCCTGCTGGTATCGCAGTGGAATAATGATTGACGTTATCCCCGAATGCACCATCTGGGAGATTTGTACTCACAATGGGCAGAGGGGCTGAATGAGACTTAAGCTCCCGAGCAACATGCATCATCTATGGGAGGAGGCTCAGGTATGCCACTACTTCTCATAAGAAGGATTGCTGAAATAAGTGCTCAAAGGCAGAGTGCAGACTGTATCCCTAGAGGTTCAATTTCCAAAGCTCCTCATTAGTCAAATGATTTTATTGTCACTGAGATCCCAGGGTGGTGAAAATCCTTCAAGACCAAGACTCTGGAAGGAAGGAATTCCCTGACCCTGTGAGTCCAGATGTACACCACGTAATATTCTCCACCTGTGTCTGCTCATCTCCATTTCAAATTCTTGGTAAATGACACACCATCCTTCTCTAATTGGATAAGTGTCTTCTTGTCTTAGTTATGGACAAATACATTGCTCTCTAATCAATGATATCAAGAATTTTGATACCTATTTGGGATGTAAGAATACAGCGTGCAAGTTCATATATATTTTATATGTTGTTTAATATATCTTACCACATTATATATTTTATGCTATATTTTATGTATCTTATTTAAATAAGATTTTTAAATTTAAATTCAAGTTATTTAACATACTGTGTTGTGATGGCTTCGGGAATAGAACCCAGTGATTCATCTGTTATGTAAGACACCCAGTGCTCACCCCAACAAGTGCCCTCTTTAAGGCCCATCACCCATTTAATCCATCCTCCCACCCAACTCCCCTCCTGAAACCCTCAGTTTGTTCTCCATATTTCAGAGTCTCTTATGGTTTTACTCCCTCTGTGTTTTTGTCTTGTTTTTCATTCTCTTCCCCTATGTTTATCTGTTTTCTCAAACTCCATATGAGTGAAACCATGTGATACATGTCTTTCTCTGACTGATTTCACTTAGCATAACATCTTCTAGTTCCTTCCATGTTGTTGCAAATGGCAAGATTTCATTTTTTTTATCACTGAGTACTATTACATTTCATCACTGAGTACTGTGTATATATATATCACATCTTCTTTATCTACTCCTGAAGCCACGTATATTACCTAACTTGGATATAAATTTAAAAATAAAATATAGCAACAAAAAAAGGAATGCCATTCTGAAACATGCTAAAACATGGACAAACCTTGAACACATTATGCTAAGTGAAATAAGCCAGATGCAAAAGAACATGTATTTTTTTATGACATGTCTTATATGAAATATCTAGGAAGAGAAATCATAAGAGACAGAAAGTAGACCAGAGGTTGTCAAGGGCTGGTTGTTGCTAAATGAGTTGTTGCTAAATGGCTACAGATTTTGTTTGAATCTGAAAAGCTGTGAAAGCAGATGCAATGGTTACCCAATACTGAGAATGTAATTTTGGCATTAAATTGCACATTTATAAATCATGAAAGTTGTGTATGGTGTAGAAAGTGGTCCCATTTCATTCTTTTGCATGTGGCTGTCCAGTTCTCCCAAGACCATTTGTTGAAAAGACTCCTCCCCACCCCTTTTTTTTAGTTTTTATTTAAATTTCAGTTAGTTAACATACAGTACTATATTAGAGTTAGGTGCACAATACAGTGATTCAATAATTCCATATATCACCTAGTGGTCACCATGGCAAGTTCACTCCTTAGTCCTCATCACTTGTTTAACCCAGCCCCACCCACCCAGCACCCCACTGGTAACTATCAGTTTCTTCTCTATACTTAAGTGTTTGTTTCTTCCAAACAGATCAACATAGGGGAAGGAAAAATAAGATAAAAACAGAGAGGGAGAAAAACCAAAAAAGACTCTTAAATACAGAAAACAAATTGAGGATTTCTGGTGGGGTGTTGGGTGGAGGGATGGGCTAGATGGGCAATGGGCATTATGGAGGGCACTTGCTGGGATGAGCACTGGGTGTTACGTGTAAAAGATGAATCATTAAATTCTATTCCTGAAGTCATTATTACACTACATGTTAACTAACTTGGATTTAAATTTTTAAAAGAAGAAAAGTAAAATAAAATAAATGAAGCTGTTTCTATTTGGTCTCTCTCTCTCTCTGTTTTTCCCCTTTGCTCATTTGTTCTGTTTCTTAAACTCCACATATGAGTGAAATCATATGGTGTTTGTTTTTCTCTGACTTTTTTCTCTTAGCATAATACTCTCTAGCTCCATTCCTATTGTTGCAAATGGCAATGTTTCATTCTTTTTCAACTGAGTAATATTCCATTGTATTCTTTATCCATTCATCAATCAATGCACACTTGGGCTGTTTCCATAATTTCACTATCGTAGATAGTGCTGCTATAAACATTGGGGTGCATGAATCTCTTTGGCTTAGTATTTTTGTATTCTTTGGATAAATATCTAGTATTACACTTGATGAACCATATGGTAGTTCTATTTTTAACTTTTTGAGAACCTCCATACTGTTGTCCACAGTTGCACAAGTTTGCATTACCACCAACAGTGCAAGAGAGCATCTCTTTCTCCACATCCTCACCAACACTTGTTTCTTGTACTGCTGATATTAGCCATTGTGACAGGTGTGAGGTGATATCTCATTGTTGTTTTGACTTGTATTTCCCTGATGGTCAGTGATATTGAGCATCTTTTCAGGTGTCTGCTGGCCATCTGTATGTGTTCTTTGGGAAAATGCCTTTTCATGTCTTCTGCTCATTTTTATTTGGATTATTTAGTTCTTGGGTGTTGAGTTTTATAAGTTCCTTACATATTTTGGATACTAATCTTTTAGCAGATGTGTCATTTGCAAATATCTTCTCCCATTCTATAGGATGCCTTTTAATTCTGGTGTTTTCTCTGCTATGAGGAACCTTTTTATTTTGATGAAGTCTTAATAGTTTATTTGTGCCTTTGTCTCCCATGCCTCAGGAGACATACCTAGAAAGAAGTTGCTACAGCCATTGTCAAAGAAGTTACTGCCTGTGTTTTCCTCTAGGACTTTTATGGGTTTAGGTCTTCATTTAGGTCTTCAATCCATTTTGAGTTTATTTTTGTGTATGGTGGAAGTCCTAGCCACAGCAATCAGACAACAAAAAGAAATAAAAGGTATCCAAATTAGCAAGAAAGAAGTAACTTTCACTATTTGCAGATGACACAATGCTCTACATAGAAAACCCAAAAGACTTCAATAAAACAGTGCTAGAACTGATAAACAAATTCAGCAAGGTGTACAAAAACAATGTACAGAAATCAGTTGCATTTCTATGTGGCAATAATGAAGTAGTAGAAAAAGAAATTAAGGAACTGATCCCACTTACAATTTTTTTTGCACTAAAAACAATAAGATACCTAGGAATAAACCTAGCCAAAATGGTGAAAGACCTGTACTTTTATAACTATAATGTACCTGTGAAAGAAATTGAAGAGGACACAAAGAAATGGAAGGACATTCCATGCTCATGGATTGGAAGAACAAATATTGTTTAAATGTCTATACTCATCAAAGCAACCTATTCATTTAATGTAATCCTTATCAATATATCAACAGCAGTTTTTTCACAGAGGTAGAACAAATAATCCTAAAATTTGCATGGAACCACAAAAGACACCCAAAGGAATTTTGAAAATAAGATAAAAACAAGGAGGCAAATGATAAGAGACTCTTAAATACAGAAAACAAACTGAAGGTTGCTATAGGAGAGGTGAATGCAGCAATGGACTAGATGGGTGATTGGCATTAAGGAGGGCACTCGTTAGGATGAGCACTGGGTGTTATATGTAAATGATGAATCAATAAACTCCACTCCTGAAACCAATATGACACTATATGTTAACTAACTTGGATTTAATTAAAATTTGAAAATTGAAAAAAGAAAGAAAAGCAAAGGTAGCGGCATCACAACTCCATACTTCAAGTTACATTACAAAGCTGTAGTAATCAAAACAGTATAGTACTGGCACAAAAACAGATACACAGATCCATAGAACAAATAGAAAACCCAGAAATGAATCCACAATGATACGGTGAATTAATCTTTGTCAAGGCAGGAGAGAATATCCAATGGAAAAAAGACAGTCTCCAATAAATGGTGTTGGGAAAACTGGACGGCAACATGCAAAAAGAAATGAAACTAGACCACTTTCTTACACCATAAACAAAAATAAATTCAAAATTATTAAAGACCTGAATATGAGACCTGAAACCATAAAAATTCTAGAGGAAAACACAGGTAACAGTCTCTTTGACACTGGCTGTAGCTAGCGACTTCTTTCTATATATGTCTCCTGAGGCAAGGGAAACAGGAGCAAAAATAAACTACTGGGAGTTTGTCAAAATAAAAAGCTCCTGCACAGTGAAGGAAACAATCAATAAAAGTAAAAGGCAACCTATGGAACAGGAGAAGATATTTACAAAGGACATATCTGATAAAGGGTTAGTATCCAAATTTGTAAAGAACTTATAAAACTCAACACTATAAAACTAAAAAAAATAATCCAATTAAAAAATATGTTAGGTGAAATAAGTTACTCAGAGAAAGACAAATATCATGATTTCACTCATATGTGGAATTTAAGAAACACAACAGATGAACATAGGGTAAAGTAAAATAAGATAAAAACAGAGAGGGAGGCAACCATAAGAGACTTAAATACAGAGAACAAACTAAAGGTTTCTGGAGGGGACTTGGGTTAGGGGATGGGCTAAATGGGTGGATGGGCATCAAAGAGGACTTGTTGAGATGAGTCCTGGGTGATACGTGTAAGTGATGAATCACTAGGGTCTACTCTTAAAACCAATACTACACTGTATGTTAACTAACTTGAATTTAAATTAAAATTCTTTTCATGTATAGAAGACATGAATAGACATTTTTCCAAAGAAGTCATCCAGATAGCTAACAGACATATGAAAAATTGCTCAATATCACTCGTCATCAGGAAAATACAAATATCTTTATTACTTTGGCATTTTACAATCTGGATTACTTTCTCTTAGTAGAAACGATGGCTTCCTCACTGACCAGGATCAAAGGTCGAAGGTCTAACCAAAATTTCAAACCACTGAGATAATCACATAATAAGTTTTACAGACAATAAAATGAATATAGTCAATGTTGATGTTACCCTGTGCTGACCTAGTTTACCAGTGACAAGTCTCAGGAATTACTGGAGTATGAAAGAATGGCTCTTCCCCTGTCTCACAATTGGTTTGTCCTTGGAGTGCAATTCACATGGCCCTAACCAGGAAATTAGGCAGAATCAAATCTCTGCTATAAAACACAGTCTTGTTTGATCCTTTTCCTGACCCATCCATCTTCTCTCACTTCTCTTTTAACTTTTCAATATAACCCTTGACTTGGGACAGCTTGTGAGGAACCCACCGAAAACACCAAGCTTAGGAATTAGAACTTATTTTTGAAACACCACAGAGCTATACAAAGAACATATTAAGTTTCAACCCAAAATTAAAATGAACTTGCCCATGATGTTACCTAGTCAATTTGCAAGAACTTGGGGATGCAAGAATCAGACATTATGGCTCACCCAATATTTCTGTCACTTGGGCTCATTCTAGAAACCCCAGTCCATGCAGATGACACACTCATGGAAGAGTAGTTCTACTTATGAACTTCCTCAAAGCTCCCTTCATGTCCCTGTTCCTCAGGCTGTGAATGAAAGGGTTCATCATTTGAGGGACAACAGTGTACATCGCTGAAAGCACTGCAGCATTTCTGGAAGAGTCAGCAAGGGCAGAATTCATGTAAACTCTAAAAGTTGTCCCGTAGAACAAAGACACAACTGAGAGGTGAGACCCACATGTGGAAAATGCTTTATACTTTCCTGCTGACAGCATCCTCAAAACAGAAGACACTATCTGAGTGTAAGAGAAAATGATTCCACATACAGGGATACCAGCAAATACGCTAGCTGCAAAATATATCAGGATGTTATTGATGAGGGTGTCAGAACATGCAAGCTTGATGACCTGAACTACTTCACAGAAGAGAGGGATTTCGAGGTCTGTGCAGAAGGTCAGTGGCAACACCATCAGACTGTGCATTGGGGCATCCACAATGCTAATAAACAGAGAAAGAAGAATCAAAAGGCCACAGAAATGGGGGTTCATGATGACTGTGTACCTCAGTGGATGACAAATGGTCACACAGCGATCATAGGCCATTACTGAAAGAATACAACTGTCCAAACTTGCAAAAACCAGGACAAAGCAGGTTTGGGTGAGGCAGCCTGTGTAACTGATGGACTTGCTCTGTGTCTGGATATTCACAATCATCTTTGGGATGGTGGTGGAGGTGAAACAGATGTCAACAAAAGACAGGTTGAAGAGGAAGAAGTACATGGGGGTGTGGAGGTGGGAGTCCAAGATGACGGCCAGGATGATGAGCAGGTTTCCCAGGATGGTGACCAGATATATGAACAGGAACAGGCTGAAGACGAGGGACTGCATATCTGGATTCTCTGTCACTTCCATGAGAAGAAATTCTAGAATGCCTGTTTCATTTCTGAGTTCCATATTGCTAATGAACCTGATGGAAATGATGCGGTAAGAAGGCAATGAAATGTTGGTTCCTAGGCAAGCAGGAATATCGCCAAGTGCAAGCACCATGTTGGGAAAGAAAAGACTTAAATGGAGAGATGCCTTCTCTATGCATATTATTTTGCAGAAAGATTTAAAGTTAATAAAGCAGTGAGTCAACATTCGTTAATTCTGGAAAGGGTTGAGGAGTTGTCATTTTTTAAATTAGACTACTCATTCTGTTTTGATTATTTGAAACATTTGGGGGCATCTGGGTGGCTCAGTTGGTTAAGCATCTGACTTTGGCTCAGGTCATAATCTCATGGTTCGTGAGTTCGAGCCCCACATCAGGCTCTGTGCTGACAGCCCAGAGCCTGGAGCTTGCTTTGGATTCTGTGTCTCCCTCTCTCTGACCCTTCCCCACTCATGCTCGGTCTCTCAAAAATGAATAAATGTTAAAAAGTAAAATAAAATACGGCAATGAGAAAGAATGACATCTGGCCATGTGTAGCAACATGGATGGACCTTGAGGGTGTTCTGCTGAGCGAAATAAGTCAGGCAGAGAAGGACAAATACCATATGTTTGCACGTATAGGAGGATTAGGAGGAACTTAACAGAGGACCATGGGGGAGAAGAGGGGAGGAAATGGTGGGGGAGAGGGAGGGAGGCAAACCATGAGAGACTCTTGAATGCTGAGAACAAACTGAGGACTGATGGGTGTGGCAGGGGAGGGGGGAGATGGACATGAAGGAGGGCACTTGTGGGGATGAGCACTGGGTGTTATATGAAACCAACTTGACAATAAACTATTTGTAAAAAAAAAAAAAAAAAAAGTAAAATAAAATATAAAACATTTGGTAAGTTTATTAGGAGAAACAGGTAATCAGATTGATAAGTCTATCTGGATCTCCACCTCCTTCCACAGAGACCTCACAGCCTGGCAACAGAGATAATGCAAAAGTATGTTAAAAACCCAGAATTGAAACTTAGAGGAAAAGTTACCTCTTGGTGGTAACAATCACCCTATTTGCAAATGAGCATGTTCTTGCTGAGAAGGAAAATAGTCTTTTTCCTCATAGAGACAGAAAAGGGGGCTGGCAGAATAACTATTTGGGGATTGGAGGAAAGACACAAGGGAACCTGTCAACAAGATAGAAGACAGGAAGGAGGCAAATAGATGTCTTGATTCCAATCATTTTATGTATGTATTCTTTTCAAAGTTTCTGCTGGATAAAGGTGTAGTAAAATACATGCCCTCACTTCCAAACATTAACTAAGGGACATCGATTTACCTAGATGACATTACTGTGGAATAATGCAGGTCATCTCTGCTAGGTGTTGAATGATGCAGACCGGTGCTCTAGCCATAGGAAAAGGAAAGGGACCAAGTGAAGCATCAGGCTCCTGGGCAAGAGGGATCCTGGTTGGGACGAGACACAGGTATGCTGTTTCTTTACTGGGGCAGGGCTGTCGAGTGAGGATGTCACAATTTGTAGTCTCTGTGCCTCTGGAGGATCAATATCCAAAGCTCTTCATTAGCCAAACAATTATATCGTCAGTCTGATCCCAAGGCAGTGCAAATTCTTTTAAGACTAAAACAACAGAAATGAGGAATTCAATATGGCTGACACCAGATGGTGGATGTTATGAGTCCAAGTATTCACCGCTCATTTCTCTACCTGTTTCTGATTTCATCTATATCACATAGCCTGCAAATGTGGACATGCCCACCTTGGCTGAGTTCCAGCATTCCTTTTTTAAAAAATAGAACCAATGGGGGCACCTGGGTGGCTCGGTCGGTTAAACGTCCGACTTCGGCTCAGGTCCTGAACTCGCAGTTCGTGAGTTCCAGCCCCACACAGGCTCTGTGTTGACAGCTGGGAGCCTGCAGCCTGCTTCACAGTCTGTGTCTCCCTCTCTCCCTGCCCCTCCCCGACTCACGGTCTGTCTCTCTCAAAAATGAATAAACATTAAAAAAAAAAATTAAGATAGAACCAGTGGCATCTCTATGTAATCAATGATATCAGGAAGCCTGGTAATTGTAGGTGTGAACCATACATACAGAAATCAGCCACAAGAAGGAACGAAATTCTGACAGGTGCTACATGGATGATCCCTGAAAACATTAGTGAAATTAGCCAGATAAAAAATGGACAAATATTGTATAATTTTAGTTTAAGGTGCCCAGAATAGGTGAGTTCATAAAGACAGAAAGTAGATGTGGCTACCAGTGTAGGGAAGAGAAAGATTGATTTTTTATTGTGCTGGAATATATTAATAGTTGTGTCTGTGCTACTAAAGTCATGTTGATATTGGTAGGGTGAGCGAGATCTCGTCAGGAAATATTTCCCTGGAAGTTTATTTGCCCTGCTTTTTTATTCTTGTGATATTGAAAGAAAAATTCTGAATTGTCATTTAATGAGTCACTTGTTTAATGGCTCCTTTTTATTTATTTTTTTTTTAATTTTTTTAATTTATTTCTAGGAGAGAGAGAGAGAGACAGCGTGAGCAGGGGAGGGTCAGAGAGAGAGGGAGTCACAGACCGAAACAGGCTCCAGGCTCTGAGCTGGCAGTCAGCACAGAGCCCGACGCGGGGCTCGAACCCACCAACTGCGAGATCATGACCTAAGCGAAAGTCAGATGCTCAACCGACTAAGCCACCCAGGCGCCCCATAATGGCTCCTTTTTAAAGTCCTTGAATTTCTCGGTCTTTACCTTTTGGATTGTCCTTATTCTTTTAAGAAATGCTTAATTTCTCTGAGGTAATAAAAATATTTTTTATATTGTCTTCTGAAATATTTAATCTCTTTGATTCTTGTGTTTAACGCTTTGGTACATTGGAATGAATTTTTTTGAGTTCTTTGTTTTAGTAAAATATATATGTATAGCATAAAATTTACTATTTCAGCCATTTTAAGTGAGCAATTCCATGCCATTAAGAACATTCACAATGTTGTGTGACTGTTACCCCTATCCATTTCCTGAACATTTTTATCATCCCAAACAGAAACTCTGTACCTATTAAATGATAGCTTTTTCTCCAACGAGTTTTCAAAAGGAACCTAACACTTTGACTTTAGCTCAGTGAAGCTGATTTCAGACAGCAGCAGGATTCATCCGTGTTGTTTGAAGCTGCTAAGCTTGTGGTGAGGTGTTACAATGGCAATAGGAAACCAACACACAAAGACACTTATCTCAATTTGGGCGGATGATAAAAACAATGCCTTCTGGATGTCTCCTTGGAAGGCTTATGTTTGTGTTGAAATGAAACCCAAGGAGCGGCTGTTGGTTTTCATTTCTGTGTCTGAAGGACCTCTGTGCTGTTGCAGCCATCAGAGACCACCAGGAAGGCAGCTGTAGGCAAAAGCCAACACGTGGCAGAGTGAAATACAGCCCTGTGGCTCTCTGCCTCGGCCTACACTATCCCTGAGGTTTTTGTAAGGAAAGATAATTGTTTTTATCATCTGACCCGATTGGAGTTGAGAATTTTGCCTTATTACAGCCGAAGGCATGCATCTTCACTGATTGAGTTGAAGTATCTCAAACCCTCTCCAAATATAAACTAATATAATCATACCAATTTTACAGATGAGGAAACTGAGTTTCGAGAGTTGAAGTAAATTGTCAAAGGCCACATGGCTATGATTCAGCGGAGGTAGGATTCAAACCCAGCTGGTCTGATTCTAAAATTCTTACCCTTCACCACTTGATCTCTGGTTTCATATATTCACTGTTGGTCAGGCTTTCTGGATCGCACATTTTTTCTCTCTATCAGATGCCAGCAGTGTGTGTCAGCCCAAAGCAGCTGACACGTTAATGGAAAGCTGATATTCTAGAAATGAGTTTCTTCAAGGCCCCCATCATGTCCTTGTTCCTCAGACTATAGATAAAGGGGTTCATCATGGGGGTGACCACGGTGTACATCACTGACGCTATTGCACTCTCCTGGGAGGAGTGAGTGGCTGCAGAACTAAGGTACACCCCAAAACCTGTCCCGTAGAACAAGGAAACAACTATTACATGTGACCCACAGGTGGAAAATGCCTTATACTTTCCACCAGCTGATGGGATTTTCAGGACAGAGGAGACAATTCGAGTGTAAGAGATAATTATCCCAGAGAGAGGAACAACACCCAACAGGCCAGTCACTAAGTATACGAGGATGTTATTGATGAGGATATCGGAACAGGCAAGCTTGAGGATATGAGCTAATTCACAGAAAAAGTGGGGAATTTCCAGGTCTGTGCAGAAGGACAGCCCCAGTGCCATCAAAGTGTGGAGAAGGGCATCCAGAACACTAATAAGGAACGACAGCAGAACCAGAAGCCCACAGAGCTTGGGGTTCATGATGATCTTGTACCTCAACGGGTGACAGATGGCCACAAATCGATCAAAGGCCATCATTACCAGAATTCCATTTTCCAATCCAGCAAAAGTCAGGACAAAGCAGATTTGGGTGAGGCAGCCTGTGTAACTGATGGACTTGCTCTGTGTCTGGATGTTCATGAGCATCTTAGGGATGGTAGTGGAGGTGAAACAGATGTCAACAGCGGACAGGTTGGAGAGGAAGAAGTACATGGGGGTGTGGAGGTGGGAGTCATACATAATGGCCAGGATGATGAGCAGGTTCCCCACCACAGCGACCAGGTACATGGATAGGAAGAGACTGAATAGCAGGGGCTGATGCTCAGGCACATCTGACAGTCCCAGGAGGAGGAATTCTGTAATAGCTGAGGAGTTTCCTGATTTCATGTTGCTGAGGGGTCTGATAGAAAAGATGGAGGTAACGAAAACAAAACTTAAGAGAATTTTTTTTATTAAAAAAATTTTTAATGTTTTATTTATTTCTGAGAGAGAGACACACACAGTGTAAGCAGGGGAGGGTCAGAGACAGGGAGATACAGAATCCAAAACAGTCTCCAGGCTCCGAGCTGTCAGCACAGAGCCTGACGCGGGGCTCAAACCCACCAACCGTGAGATCGTGACCTGAGCCGAAGTCAGACGCTTAACCAACTGAGCCACCCAGGAGCCCCTTTAATTTTTTAATGCTTATTCATTTTTGAGAGACAGAGAGATAAAGTGTGAGCAGGGGATGGGCAGAGAGGGAGGCTCCAGGTTCTGAGCTGTCGGCACAGAGCCTGATGCAGGGCTCAAACTCATAAACCACAAGATCATGACATGAGCCAAAGTCATGACTGAGCCACCTACGCGCCCCAAGAGAAACTTTCTTAAACACGGCTATCTTTGCTCTTGCGTCCCTCTCTCCTATCTCTCTTCCTCTCCCTTTCTTACTTTGTATTTCCCTCAACACTCCCCCTTCCAACACACAACATCCTGTCCCAAGTTCTTATAGTCTATCAATTCTTTGTCAAGTAGAGATACTTAATGAATAGAAAAGAGAACTGAATATCCTGTTAAGATGCCCTCAAGCAGGGACGCCTGGGTGGCTCAGTTGGTTAAGCGTCCGACTTCGGCTTAGGTCATGACCTCATGGTTTGTGCGTTCGAGCCCTGCATCGGGCTCTGTGCTGACAGCTAGCTCAGAGCCTGGAGCCTGTTTCAGATTCTGTGTCTCCCTCTCTCTGTGATCCTGCCCTGCTCTCTCTTTCTCTCTCTCAGATATAAATAAAACGTTAGAAAATCTTTTTTTAAAAAGGGATTCCTTCAAGCAAATGATCGTAGAATAAAATCATTGAGGCTGTATTCTGGAATATAGTTTGAGGAAATACAGCCGTATGGGCAAGATCCAGTAAATAAAGGTTTACTGGAACATAGACATTCATTTATACTTCATCCATGGTAGTTTATACACTACATCTGAGCTGAGTACTTGTGACAGAGGCCATATGGCTTACAAAACCTAAAATATTTACCATCTGGCTCTTTACTGAAAAAGTCTGCCTACCTCTAGTCTAGAAGCCTAATTAGATTTAGGCTCCATTTTTTTTTGGGGGGGGTGCAAACATTTTAAAATATGTATATGTATTTTATATATGTGATATATAAAATATGCATACACACACGGTGTCTTACTTCTTGAAATAACTATTGTCTGGATCCACTAATCCTTTGGGAGCTACAGAATGCTGACATTCTAGTCCTTTCTTCATTTATTGGCTAAAATACTTCCATAAAGAGTAACTCTCCCTAATTAAATAGGTGGTCCCCTGAGGGTTGCATTCTTAAAGACAGGATGCATGTTGAGTCCTGCATTCATCACTTGTTAAAACAATAAACTGTTTTTCAGCATTACCCCAAAATGAATGTTTCTTCCCCTTCCAGAAGGGAAGCTGAGAGTAAGACCGAGTGAGAGACGAGGGAGGAAACCTCAAGAACATAATCTCAAGGCTGGAAGTAGGATGTACTCAGATCCCCACTGGGAGCCCTCAGTGTAAGGAAATAGAGGAAAGAAATAACCTAAATAAACAGCTTTATAGGAATGCATACAAATTCATGGTATAGTCATGGTATACCATGTTATTTTCATATTATTTTATACTATATCATACTTATTTTTTAAATGTTTGTTATTTTAAATATGAAAAATCAAAGTATTTACATTAGTGCTAGCTGTATAAAATTAAATAAAAAAATTATTAAAGCAGAGGCCCCTGGGTGGCTCAGTTGGTTGAGCGTTCCACTCTTCAGTTCAGCTTGGGTCATGATCCCAGGGTCATGGTGACAGCCTGCTTGAGTTTCTCTTTCTCTCTCTCTCTCTCTCTCTCTCTCTCTCTCTGCCCCTCTGAAGCTTTGCAAAGCGTGTATGCTTTTTCTCTCAAAATAAATATTTTTAAAAAATAAGACAAATATCATGTGATTTCACTCATATGTGGAATGTAAGAAACACAACAGATAAGCATAGGGGAATGGAAGAAAGATAAAAAGAGAGAAGAGCAAACCATAAGAGACTCTTACACACAGAGAACAAATTTGAGGTTTGCTGAAGGGGTGGGGGAGGGATGCGTCAAATGGCGATGGGCATTAAAATTAAGGGGGGCACTTATTGGGATAAGCACTGGGTGTTCTATGTAAGAGATGAATCACTGAATTCTACTCCTAAAACCAAGACTGCACTCTGTTAGCTAATTTGAATTATATTTTAAAAAATGGTTTAAAGAAATTAAAGGAGAATAGTCTATAACAGCCATAGCAGGATGAAATTTATGTAAATATAAATAAACCCTTGTTTATTTTCATGTTTTATGTTCTATTTAAGTATCCCAATAAGGACAAAGTGAAAGGCTTTGAAATGAAAGGCTTAAGTCCACCAGCGAGCATGATCAAATTCGACATTGTGCCACGCCTGCACCAGTTTTCCTTTTTCTTTTTTAAGGTTTAAAGTTCTTTTATTTTGGGGGTGCCTGGGTGGCTCAGTCAGGTAAGCGGCCAACTTCAGCTCAGGTTATGATCTCGTGGTTTGTGAGTTCGAGCCCCACGTCAGGCACCTCAGAGCCTGGAGCCTGCTTCAGGTTCTGTGTCTCCTTGTCTCTCTGTCCTTCTGCTCACACTCTGTCTCTCAAAAATAAACATTAAAAAAAATTATTATTTTATTTTGAGAGAGGGAGAGAGAGCATGTACACGAGCAGGGGAGGGGCAGAGAGAGAAGGAGAGAGAGAATCCCAATCAGGCTCCACACTGTCAGCAAGGATCCCATGAACCATGAGATCATGACCTGATTAAATCAAGAGTCAGACACTTAACTGACTGAGCGACAAAGACAACCCCAGTGTTCTTTGTTAATAAAACAATGCCAGTCTCCTCGAAGCACCTGCATATTTCTACACAATCTCTACAATGACCTCCCCTCCCCAGGGTTTAACCGGATCCTGAACTCTTGCCTATATCATTCCCCTGGAGTATTTCATATGAGTAATGATGTATCCACAAGCATTTTATGCTTAGGTTACTTTCCATGTTACATGCTCCTATCTGTTGTTATACATAGTATCATACTATTCAACTTAGCAACTTTTTTTTTTTTTTTTTGGCTTAACCATGGTCTTTTCTATATTTATCAAAACAGATGCAAGCAGATCAGGTTTATTCATTTTAACATACATTCTCACATCAATGGGCATTTGGGTTCATTACAATGTTTTCCTATAGTAAAGAAGAATTTATGGGACACATTCACATATACTAATAGTGGTAAACTACACATAGCAAATATCCACCAAATTTCAGAGTGGTAACTTCTAGGAGGGAAGGAGGGAAATAAATAATAAAGAGTATTTGTCCATAATGATATAGTTATCCCTGTCTGAGGGCAAAGAAAGGTCTTTCTGTGTGGTACTTGGATCTAAAACTCAGTTTAAAATATAATATAATAATAGGACCTCATGTGTACGTATAATACTTTATTATTTTAAAAAGTCTTAAGTTCATATGGCCAAAATGCCAGCATTAATTCTGGAAAGTGGTTGAGTGACTGTTATTTTAATACTCCCTGTGCTGTTCTGAAGGTTTAAAATATTCCATATTTTTTTGCAGGGGATTTCAAAGAAAGACTGGAAAGGTAGACTAATGTGTCTCAACCACCTCTCCCAAGGTCCTCACAGTTAACAGTCAAGGACAAGACTTGAGTTCTCCACGAAGGATAAAATATGAAACCAGATATGGGAAAATTGAGAAGTCATACTCACCCATCCCAGTTCTACTCACGGCCAAAATGGAAAGAAAAGGGAAAAAAATGAGGGAAACCAGAGAACTATAGAATTATCTGTCCAATTTCTGAAGGGGCTAATTCATGCTCAGGTGGTAAGAGTCCCTGGAATTTAAAAGGCAAAGTAGGAGCCAGAAAGGAAGGTTGATTGCAAATTCAGTATAACCTAATCTTACTTCATCCTTAATCTTTCTGTTACCTCTTAGATGTCCTCCAGACGGGCTGATTTTAAATAACTGTTCAATTTCTCACAGAATTTATTAGTACACATCAGATTACCTTGGAGTCATCAATGAGTAATTCACCCCTCTTCTAGATACTGAAGGATGAGATGGGAAATCTGTCCGCAGGAAGGGCAGATGGACCAAGTCAGACAATTGGGCTCATGGGCAAGAGGGATCATCTCAGAAGGAGGCCCAGATGTGCTTGTTTCCTGACCTGAGCAGGTCTTTGAAGGCAATGGTCACAGGTAGATTCTACCGTTTCTGTGGCCCTGGGGGCTCAATTTCCAAAGCTCCTCATTAGCCAAATATGTACTGTCATTTCATCCCCAAGACAATTCAAATCCTTATGGAACACAGCTCAAAGAAAGAACTCCTGGGGACGCCTGGGTGGCTCAGTCGGTTAAGCCTCAGACTTCAGCTCAGGTCATGATCGCACAGTGAGTTCTAGCCCCGCATCGGGCTCTGTGCTGACAGCTCAGAGCCTGGAGCCTGCTTCAGGTTCTGTGTCTCCCTCTCTCTCTGACCCTCACCCACTTACACTCTGTCTCTCAAAAATGAACATTTTTTTTTAAAGAGAGAGAACTCCTGGATGACTGGTTTCCTGACCCTGAGAGGGCAGGCATATATCATTCTCTTCCCACATGCTTCCTCTCACCTCCAGGCAGGGAACTTAATTCCTGGATTTCTTGGATCTGACCTTAAGAGAATTGATGAGTATCTCATTAAACCGATTCTCTAAGAATTCTTTAACTTAAGTTCCTTTGTGACCTGAAGTAAGAAGTATTATAAGAAAGAGTACAAAGAAACCAATTTACTAGTTACTTGGGCAGACTTTTTGGAGGTTGCCTAAAAAACAGACACCAAAAC